TATATATATATATTTAAAGCTTTCTGTCCTCCGTGCAGGATTGTGATCAAGTGCACATTGAAGACGTTCGCGGTGACGATTCCAATCAGGATCTGAGGTATGTTTTTCGAAAATGTAGTAGAACTCAGATGGAGCAAAATGTCGAACACATTGTATAACTTTTATTTTGGGCGTAACTTTCGTTTAATTGTGTGGTGGTTGCTAATCTCTAGCCCCTACCCAAACCTTCAAGTATACGGACCAGTACTATTCTCCCTTCGCTATAGTCTGTCTCTGCTGCGACCTTGAACACTAAGCACTTTTCGGTTGCTTTCCTCCTTGAAGTGGAACACACTTTTGAATCTTGTTTCTTCATTGAGCTCTTGTTCATATGCATTTAGCTGAACTTCGAAATGCGGGCGAATACATACGAAATAAGTCACCTTCTGAAGCCAGCATATAGCAGTTCTCGTTCGGTTACTGGGTCCCTGCGAAATCAAGCCAGATTTTATCTTACCCGAACGAACTTATGAGTAGTATTATATTGATTTTATTCCCGCTGGCAACTTGATTGTGTGCAGCAAGATAATACAATGGTCTCCATGTTTGTGTTCTGCACACCGCAAGTGACGGCGTCCATGCTACGCCAGTTTATGTCCTGTTCCACTCTCCACCCTCCTCACAATCTGCCTTCTGTCGTCCACTGACTGTGTTGTGCGTATGTCGCCCAGTGCTTCACCAGTGGCTGTGTAACCAGACACCGGTTCTTGTTTCATCTATCACGTGCGTCATTCCGCAATCTCTACCCCAGCAGCCACCAATCAAGTTAAGGGAAACACAACGGTAATTACTGTGACCCGGAAGCGACAACCTGGAGTTTTCGCTCAACCCCCCTCGCAATAGCAGTGGTCAGTCTTTTTGCTGTTGCAACTGACAAGATTTTGTTAGCCGCTGACAATCAATGGAAGACGTGGAATACCGTTAACAGGATTTAGCTATGAATGTCTTCATCATGTTTTTTAAGAATGAAACTGAATGGGTGGTAACATTAAAATTGCAAATTAAATTGGTGTTCACAAGACATTCAACCGCTAGATAGAGAGATATAGATAGATAGATATAGATAGATAGATAGATAGATAGATAAACAGA